CCCTTCCCCTTCCCCTTCCCGGTCCCTGGTCCGCATCGGTGCAGCACCCAGCATCCACCCACCACCCTTCTTGCTCCACCCCACCAGCGGCCCTCCTCCAGTGTCTCCTCTCATCCTCCTCCTCCACCTCACCTCCCGGCCTTCAACTCCTCCTCCTCTCCAACCCATCTTGGGCCGCCTCTGCGGTGCCTCTCCTCTCTTTTCTGTGCAATCCTGGGCCTGGTCCATCAAATTCATCCTTCCGTCCACCCACTAACATTGCACAGCATCCCAAAGACACCCCTGCCCGTGAAGATTATCGCCTCCCCAATAAGGTGCGCCGCTGTGATGCATCGCCTCATACGCCAACCCGATGCACTCGGCCTGCACAACAACAGAGAGGGTCCCGTCTTTGGCTGCTTGGATCCTTGGGTCCTTGGGTCCTTGAGGTCGCCGTCAGAGAGGGTCATCGGGATTTTCCTAAAAAGACACCCATCATTGCCCGTCCAAATCCCCTCCCTCCATTGGCCCTGGCAAAGTTGCTCGCCCCCAACAGCCCATCTTAGTCCCAGAATGGACAACCCATCCAACCCATCACACACACACACACAAAATACCCGTTCCCGAGTCCTGCCTGCCTGGACCATGGAGGAGTCGTCGTACCCCAGCATCGACTTCCTAGGCCCCCAGCACCACCACCGCGACTGGTTGAACAAACCTGGGCACTACTAGCTTGCCCGAGAATGAGAGGGACTGAGAAACACCCACCCGCTCTGCAGGAACCTTCACAAGGGCCAACCTATGCAGCCCAGCTAACGTAGGTAGTCAGTCCAACGTGAGGTAGTCCACGCCTCCATGTACATAATAGAGTCCCACCCTCCTCCGTCCTGCCTTCGTGCCCTCTGTGATGCTTCCGGCCTCTTCGTCGTTGCTCCCGCTCGAGTCTTTCCTTGATACCACGAGTCTTCCGCCTCCAGCATCTTCCGCCCTGCCTTGTCAACTGCGGACAATGACGATATCAACACAATAGGTCGCCCGTGACGCACCGCTCCAACGCCCCGACCCGACTTACACGAACCTCCACGGCCACCTCACCTCGACATCTCGACATCACACTCAACCGATCCCGAGTACATACCACGGCTTGGGCTTCAGCAGGACTGAGGACGTCATTTGGAGGACTCTGGAAAGACGTACCTCTTTTTCCTTTCTCGTCGGAATCTCCCGACAGAGCACGGCATCAACTCCGACTCTCCACGCTACGAATTTTCTCTAGTTCGATTCACTAGCCTACCGCAACTGTCAGTGCGAGATATCGTTCAAGGGTGTGTCAACCAAATCGGGAAAAGGGTGGACAACACATCGAATATTACCACATCGTCGTCGTATATCACCTTGGTCGCTCCTCAGATCGCCTTTAGATTCGGCGGTTGCTCGTCTCATCCTCAACCATGGCGTACCCCGACATCGCGTCCCGAGGGGGCTGCCCTGCGCCTTTCATCTCTGGGTCCCTGTTTCCAGCCGACGAAGGCTGTAAGTGCCATCACAGTGGAAAGATTGAACAAGCCGTTAACCTCTCACAGTCATCAGTGGCCGTCTTTGCCAGAACTTGACAGAAACGCTGTCATGTTGTTTGCCATGCCCGCTCACAGACTGGGTGTACCCAGACTACTTCAACACCATGACAACAGCAGCCAACTGGGTTTGCGTTGCCAGTGCGGCATGCTGCCTATTTCTCCTCCTTTCCTGGGCCGTTTTGCCCGTCGACAAGACGTACAGACACTACCTTAGCATATGCCTGACGATTGCCGTCTTCATTATGAATGTGAGTTACCTCCCGCGAGACGGTGACCACCCCTGATGTCTGACTATATCAGCTTGGCTTTGTTGTACCCCTCGCCGCTGAGCCGGAGCAATGTTACAACGACATCACGCCTCACAGCATGAAGTCGAGCAAGGTTTGCGGCGCGTCTGGTGCATTCCTCCTGCTAGGAGGTTGGGCCGGAGTCATGTGGGTCTTCCTGCGATCACTGTCTCTGCATCTCCAGATCTGCTGGCAAGTCGTTGTCGGCCGCAACTTCATGATCTTTGCCCAAGCCGCCGGCTGGGGAATTCCAATCATTGGCATTGTCGTCGCCCTCGTCTTCAGCGGTGTGTCGTTTCGTTTCGGGGCTACCTGCCACATCAACCACAAGAACAGTCTTGCCGACTTCTGGATTCCACTCCTTGTGTTCGCCGGCCTCACAGTCATCATCCAGTTCGCCACGTTCGGCTACTGTATCAAGGTCTACCTTGCCTCGCTGGCAGACAACAGCGCATCCACCGAAGGCTCGAGCCTGCCCCAGTACTCTCAGAGCATCCGGACCATGACCCCCCGCCAAGCCTACCGACGAGTACGACGCGTGATCTCACTCCAGTGGAGAGGTATTGCCATCGTTCTCATTATCATTGCCGACGTCATCTTCTTCTCTGTCGTTTTCGTGTTTCAGGACAACACAGTCCAAGCAGTGCACGACGACAAGACCATCGCCGCAGACTGGATCACGTGTATCACCCTCACCAAGGGTGACAGAAGCCAGTGTTACGACAAGGCCAAGAACATGGTTGTCAACGAGGCGACCATCACGGCGGTCTTGATTCTACTCGCGGTAAGAAGAGCTTCCCCTGAGAAGTCGACGGGAACCCAAATACTAATTTGATCATAGATGAACGGCATCTGGCTGCTCTTCCTCCTGGGCCGATGGGCCATGGTCCTCGGTTGGATTGATCTTGTCACCTCCTTGGGAGGCAGGAACAAGAAAGAATTCGTGTCGGTGGATGCCCGATACGACGTCAAGAAAGATACCCGTGCGTACGAGATGCTGTCGAGAGACTCGAGCGCTGTTGTAACACCAGTTTCCCCAGTCAAATCCCCCGTTGTAAGTCCCAACAGCGGACGAAGAACGCCCGACTACTTTGGGCAAACAGCCCGCTACCAACCGCCGATGCGGTCCTTCTCAAGCCCCCGCCCGCCGCAAACACCACCCACTTGGGATGCGCGAGCGACGTACGCCCGGCCCGAGTCGCGAGCCCGGCCAGACGGGTTCGAAGACATGAACCCACTTGGGATGAACAGGATATAATGAGACGGAACGACGACGAATGGAACGAAAAAAAAAAAAAAAAGGAAGGAAAACAGTAAAACTCAAAAAAGGAAAAGAAGAGAAGAACGAGGAGGTTTGGGCGAGGAACCACAGTGTTCCATGTCCCCTCAGCTTAAAACACCTATTACCACCACCCCACGGACTCGGTTACCCAAACATGGTTCGCATTATTATCGGCCGAAGCATCTGGACACCACCACGTGCTGGTCATCGACATATCAGCCAACTAACAGAGATGATGTAATGTGGAGGAATAGTCGGCCTTATTTACTGGCCTTGTCACATATTTTTTTTTCATGAACAAAAAAAACCCGAACCATGTAATACCAGCGTCGGCGTCTCGGACTTGTTTAGGCAGCGAAGGGACGGGTACAATACCCACAATTTAGAGACTCTGTACTTTTTAGAGAGAGGGACGGCGGAAGGCGACAAAGGGAACGTCCGGAGCCTCACCGAGGGGGTGGGAGAGGGGACCCAGGTTTCGGGGCGGAAGAAGGCCCTTGACGGGATGGGCGGAACGAATCATGATTTGACGGGGGACGGACATGTAGGCGTTGTCCAAAGTCCGACGAAAATACAAAAAAAACAAGAGTCACGCGACACTATAATGCAAGTTTGCCTATCAAGTACCGGACCATGCAGGACGCAACAAGGCGATTGAGTGGTGAGGAATGAGAGCAGATCCAAAGTACCGAGCAAGGATCATGATGCTGGGTGTGTGAGGGTGAGCATTGCGCGTGTGTGAGTGAGCTGGCGTCGGCGGGATAAGGCAGGACAGCGATGGTCTGGCAAAAGTAAGCCCAGCCGGAATCTGCGGAATGGACGACTGGTTGGGATTAACGAATGATGCGAGGAGCGGCGGAGAGGCTAGCAGGAGTCACCACCCCATCCCATCCCATATACCGCAAATCTCTGCAGAGTGCGCCGGATCGCGCGTATTGTGAAAGTGTTGTTCCCAAGGTCCCGAATCCCAGCGGCGCCAGCCTGGCCGGGGGCCACGGGAAGTGGTGGTGGTTCTTGGTTTTGATTCGATTGATTGTATTCCCAACCCCCAATCCCAGGTCTTCCGCTCCGTCCGGCTTCTTCGGAGGGGGAAGGGGGGAGCGCACACCACACCCACGACATCACAAATCTGACCGTTCAGTCATGTAAGCGGGAAGTGCATTGCAGCAGGCGCCGCTCGGCTGCCCGACTCTCGTTCGATTCGCCTTGGCGTTTTCATAATTATAAGTAGTTTTGGGTGCGCAAAGTGAGTTATACCAAGAAAGGCTGTTTTTTTTTTACTGTTTTCCTCTTTCCATCGCATCTTCGCTTTGAAACGGATCGCATCGTCAACGCATGGAGGAGGAAGAGCACCCTGCGTAGAACCCGACTGTCGAACCACAAACACAAGGTGTATATCAAGCATCCCGCCGCCGCCACTGCCGACGAACAACGAACTGTTCATCCTGACAGCCCTACACTCGGGGAAGCTCACTTGACGAGTACCTTTTGCTGGCCCAGCCTGAGCAGCGTCCAACGGCAGAACCTCAGCAACGTCCTCACTCCGGCCCCATCGAGAGGTTCCATCACGGCGGTTGCATCTGAGCTGAAATTTGCCCGGCTGAACAATAAAGAGGCGAAGCAGCAAACGACGGATCAGAGGCGGGCATTACCGTTCAACGAATTCAGATACGAAAAGCCCTCCCTCAGGTGTCGACACTGGAGAAGACACAGCGCTACAGCATTGACATCTGGTCGGATTGTGCACCGTTGCGCCGGTTCCCCGGGAACGAAACGAACCCAAGGACGAGAGAAATAAGAAAATCGAAACAAGACGGCCCGCCCGTTGCACACGTTGCGATAAACATCGTCTGTGACGTGCATCCGTCCCGGCACGTGGCTGACAGCATCTACCTTGCCGCCAGCAAACACGAAGAGAAAAGCATTGTGAGGTTGCAAGAGGAAAAAAGAGAGAGAGTGTGTGTGAAGTCATTCCACTAATTACCTTACCTTACCTGTCGGCTTCATCGGGACAAGCTTTGCCCCGGCCATCTCCCGTGTCATTGAGGCTTTGTCCTTGCAGCAGTGGAGGGCTGTTCCCGCTGGAAACAGCCTAGCGGATCGAGCTGTGCAGCACCAGCATCAGCTACACCACCACGTTCTGATTGGCCAATCTCCATCTTTATCGCTGTCCAGACGCAAGGAACATCAGTAATGCCGTTCGCCGAGATCTTCAAGCTGCCCCCCGGCTTGCCGGCCAGGGTATGGCGCTGGAGCTCGGGACGTCCCCAGGCTGGGACACTGGTTGATGACATCGAGCAACCGAGCACTCCGCCAGCCAGAGGCGGTGTCTACTTCCCCAGCATAGACGATTCTGCGACAGCCGACCATGGAGCCTCCTCCCCCGGCCTCTGCTTCCGAAAGAGAACCCCGTCGTCGTCATCACCATCATCGCCATTTGCAAACCCGCCTTCAAAACCATCACGTCTAAGGCCCCTCTGCCACCTCGGCTTCATCAGGCTATCGCAGTTCAGGATGTTCCTCCTCCTGGCCTTCGTCTTCCTCGGCGGCTACGTCCACTACCTCTGGAAGGCCGAGGCCGCCCTCGGCGTCGCGTGGACCCCCGACCCGGAGACCAGGCTCTTCGAGCAACGCCCGCTGCTGCCCCCCATCAAGGAGACGAGCATCGAGGCCTACACCCTGCCGCTGCACACAAAGGGCCGCGACGTCGTCGACGAGCACGGCCGCCGCTTCAAGCTGCTGTCCGTCAATTGGTACGGCGCCAGCGACGAGCTCAACATCCCCAGTGGCCTCGACGTCCAGCACCGCGACACCATCGCCCAGACCATTAGAGGTTTGGGATTCAACAGCGTCCGCCTGCCCTACAGCGACGAGATGGTCATCACCGACCCGCCCGTCCCCGCCGAGCTGCTCTCCGCCAACCCGGACCTCGTCGGCATGCACGCCCTCGACGTCTTCGAGGCCTGCGTGACGGCCCTCACCGACGCCGGCATCGCCGTCATCGTCAACAACCACATCACCCACTCGACCTGGTGCTGCGGCGCCGACCCGTGCGACGCCCACTGGGCCAACGACCACCTCGGCCCGCTGTGCCGCATCAAGCAGACCGAGGAGGACTGGATCCAGCACTGGGAGAAGATCATGCTCCGCCTCGTCGACAACCCGCGCGTCATCGGCGTCGACCTGCGCAACGAGGTCCGCGGCCTCTGGGGCACCATGTCGTGGGACAAGTGGGCCACCGCCGCCGAGAAGGCCGGCAACCGTCTGCTGGAGATGAACAAGGACTGGCTTGTGATTGTGGGCGGCACCGAGTCCGGCAACGACCTCACCGGCGTGGCCGACCGCCCCGTCGTGCTCAGCGTGCCCGACCGCGTCGTCTACTCGGCGCACGTCTACGCCTGGTCCGGCTGGGGCAGCGTCGAGGGCCGCTACTCGAAGCGCGGCTACGCGTCCTTCGTGAAGGCGATGCGGAAGAACTGGGCGTACCTCGTCGAGGGCGACCAGGCGCCCGTGTGGGTGGGTGAATTTGGCGCGCCGCACCGTCCGAGTATTGGTGATGCAAACTACTGGAACAACCTGCTGCGGTACCTCAAGGTCATCGACGCCGACTTTGGCTACTGGGCCGTCAACCCGCGCAAGCCCCACGAGAACACCAAGGAGACGTATTCGCTGGTGGAGGACGACTGGGTCACGCCCGTGCTGGACTACAGGATGAAGGACATGGTCGAGATCATGCGGGCTTAGAGCGCACCGCAGTTGGACGACCGGGAGGAGTGCTTGCTTGAGTCACGGATTACGGAGCTTTTGGAGACGGTATGCATTTGATGTCTCGACTGAGTTTTAAAAATTAGGCGTTTGGAGGGTGAATTGGTACTTGGACGAGGTGCCAGCTTCGGATACCCGGCTACCTATTTGGTCAGGCACGAGCTAGAAATTTGAACATGGTGTGTTTGCGAAGTGCTTGTTACACGGCAATTGGACTCATGATTATGACCTTTATCTACGAGCATTGACGTGATCGACTTGTGTGTGTGCTGTATGTGCTGTGTGTTCTGCTTGTGGTCAGACTGTGAGACACAATCTGGACCGAATCCTACTAAACTCACCCAACGCACCCAACGCATTGTGCATTGAGAGCTAGTTCGTGACAATTGATGCCATCAACCATCGCGAAAGCATGCATCCACATTCCTGGGAGCTCTCTCATGGCCCCCCACAAACTGCAAATCGCGTGGGCTTGATGAAACGGTTCGACCCCTCCTCTCCAGACAGCGAGAAGCAGGGACCAGCAGCGGGGCGAGGGGATGGAACGTGGAGCTCACCTAAGCTTCTTATCGATAAAGCATAGGTGGTCCTTCCCTATCGATAAGCAAATTACAGTGGGACCACCCCTCCTTGCCTCTCTGCAACCCCTACGTGCCGGCCGCAAAGGTGGGCAGGCGGGCGGATTGTCGACAAACAAACCCGAAATATGATTAACGGACGGCCTGACCCCGCTGGCCACGTCTGACAACCAAACAGCTCTTCTTCACAACAGGCCCGAGGCTTCTTCTCAACCTTCTCGTACTGATTAAGAGCAAGGTTGATTTCCACCGGCACACCGTTTCCCCGGAAAGCGCTTATGTCGCGCTCGAAGAGAAAGAGAGGACAGGACTCTGAGGAGTAAGTCCATGGCGGGCCAAACGGGACAGCAGCAGCCCGATCGCGGCTTCCGCGAGGCTGTGCTGGGGAGATGCTTCGTCCAGGACGCCGTGGAACGGGTAAGTTCTATCTCCAGGGGAGCTGCTGGGTTGCTGAATCTCCGACCCCTCAGTTTGGCGACGGCGCCCCCGAGATCATCCGGCAGCACGAGCGCGACCACATCCACCAGGTAGCGACCGAGACGATCGTCCAAGGCGTCCCGACGGACCAGATCTTCACCGGGTCGGAGCAGGATGACCCCGCGGCGGCGGCGGAGCAGCAGCCGCTCGAGAAACACGTCCCGCGGATGCCGTACTATCGGAATAACCTGACGGCACTGTCGCAGCGATACAATGTTGGTGTAACCATCGCGGACGAGGTGATGGGATTCCGTTGACACACTCTCTTCTTTCGCAGCTTTACTTCGCGGCGTACGAGAACAGGATATTCGTCTACCGGCCCAAGAGCGCGCTGCGGCATGCGCTCCCCCGCGAGCCGAACCTGATACTGGCCACGAAGCCGGACAAGGTCGCGATCCACGTCGGCGGCACGCTCGATCCCCGCTTCCACCACCAGACGAACCACATCACCACCGGCTTCCTCGGGCGGGAGGAGGTGCTGGTGGCGGCGTACGACGACGGGTCCGTCATCGCGTGGTACGTCGGCTCCATCGCAGACTACGTCGACAGCCGGACGGCCGCCGTGCCGACGCCCTTCTTCCGCGACAACGTGGGGCGCTCGGCGTGGGGCATCGTGGTGCACCAGCAGTCGCGCCTCATCGCCGTCAGCTCCAACCGGTTCGAGGTGACGGTGTTCGCGTTCGCGCTCTCGCGGCTGCCCGAGGCGCTGTGGCGGCGGGACAGGCCGTACAGCCACTGCGAGGCGTGCGTTTTTAAGAGGAAGAGGAACTGGCGCATCGTGATTCCGCTCGGCGACGGCGGGCACAACATACCCAACATCTCCATCTGGGACGACGAGGACGGGTTCGCGGAGAAGGTCGTCGCCATCGACATCAACGGTACGCTGTGGATCCTGGATATCTGGAAGCCCAAGACGAAGGCGATCCAGATCCAGCACAGGACGCATGTGACGCACCATTGGAACTTTCGCCACCAGATGTAAGTCCCCTTTTGATACGGTGTGAAGTTGTGAGCTATACTTACACGTAGCAGGGGTTGGGGTGTTGCGGTTCTACCTTATGAAAGCTTTCTGCCTGCGTACTCGTCGGCAGAGTTGCTTGGGCTGGAGGAGGGCGACATTATGAATTCGAAGCCTCCGCTTGCTGGACGCTGGGTGGAGACACAGAAGAGCCTCGCCAATGTGCGCAACCACCCGTCACCCCTTTCTGCACAAGCGGTCCCAGAGCCCGAGCCCAACGAGATATTTGCTCTCGCTCCAATGGGGTTTGAGGTGCCGCCTTTGGATGGGGGAGCATGGATAGACGACGAACTGGCGGGAAATCCACCGGGGGGCAACGGGCCGGCGCTCACGATAGACGTTGACGACAGCGACGATGAGGAGGAGGAGGAGGACAGCGACAGCGATGGTAGTGCTCCGCTGAACATGCAACCGCCGGCCGAAACATTGTCGTCTGACTCTAGCGACACCGACGGTAGTGCGCCGCTGCACGAAGACGAGATTGAGGACGATAGCGACAGCGACGGTAGTGCTGCGCTGCCGAACTTCTTGGAAGCCCAAGACTGGTTTATGCAACTGCCCGTCAACTACCTCCCGGAACAAGATCCCCCCTTGACGCATGCGTACCCAATCGATGCCGCGCTTGGGGCATTGGAAAAGAACAAAGACCAACCAGGATGGCACACACGCATCGAATCGGAAATTGAACAGTTTCGCGACATGGTCTACCTCCCTCACGAAGGCAAGGCCTTCAGCTGGCCGGACTCGTTGACCGGAAGGGTGCGTTTCCACAAGAGGGAGAGAGTGCGGAACCGCAACACGGTCGACCAGGACCCGGACGTGCTGGACGAGCTCGCGAGCCGGAGCTGCATCATGCGGACCTACGAGTACGACATCGAGCTTAGGAGCATCAACATGGACGACGGCGCGGCGGTGGTCTGCCGGGACCCCATCAACTTCGACCCCGCCCAGAATATGTTCATGCAGCACGCCGAGCGCCTCAACATGATCATCCACGTGCCGGAGCTGTCGCTTGTGGTGGTCGGCTCCGCGATCGGGCGCGTGGTGCTGCTGACGCCCACCCGGACAGCGTATCCGCACGGGCTGCGCAGGGAGGGGTTCAAGGTTAAGAACGGGTTCCGGATCGACTGGGTCCTGCCGACGCGTGCGGACGAAGAGGCGGGCAAGAGGCCTAACAGGAGCCTGTACGGCATCGCGGTGGGCCCCGTGCAGGAGGCCGGCGCGCCTGGGTGTCTTTTGAGAGCGGACGGTGCGGCGGCGCCGTCGCCTGCGACGAGGCGGTACCGGCTTATGCTGCATTACCGCGACCATAGGATTTTGAGTTATGATATTGGAAGGGATGAGAAGGGGGAGCATCTTCTCGTCTTTTGAGCGTGTGGAAGTGGTCTTGAGAGATGGCGAAGGTTAAAGAAAGCGGATATTATTATGAAGTCTCGGTAGCACACGCAGGCTTCGGTTCGGTAAACATGGTTTCTTGGTTTCATGGACATGATTGGCGTTGAGGAGGGGGTTCTTTCCTGATACCCGGCCTATGGTGCCCCTATTTCAGGGGTCACTGGAGCGATATAGCTAGGCCTTGGAAGAATGCATTAAAATTTTGCAACTGCGGTGCTTCGTGTGTTGATGATGATTCCTTTGTGTCAAACGATCCCGCGGCGAGGGGCGGTTGCTGATGTTCTGGGTTCAGTGTCGAGAGGTTGAGGTGAGGGCATGGCTAGAGTATGCTTTACTGCTTACGAGGTCTGCTGCTGATAAGCTCTTGTGATTTATAAAAGAAGGCTTGGTTCGCATGGGAACTGATGTTCTGTGCAATTACATCGTATTCCAGTGAATGTACTTTCATTCTGATGAAGGCTGACATTCGTCCACCCTACGGCGCGAGGAGGAATCCTCGATGAGTTTGGCATTCTTTTGTAGATAACGTATGTTCTCAGTAATATCCCAGCAACGATGTGGAACGGCGAAACAGCGAAACGGCGAAAGTCGGACACGAGCAACGGTGTCATTGGTGCTTCAGGCTTTTGCGTGGCCTGAAGCTTAATACGACTGCCTATATTGGATGGACTGTGGCGATCAACGATACCACATTGTTTCAAAGATTTCTGGATGTATCGTTACGTTATATGCTTTACATACTTCATCCAAGCTGGCGTGCTGCAGCACGTTAAGTGAGTGTACCATCTCCAACCGAGCAAGTTCCAGTGACAGATGCTGATCTCTGGTGATGAGGTGATGCTTGGTGGTGATAGCATATAAACAGCAGTACGTCTCCTTTGATGATACTAGCCACGGCAAAATGATGCGAATGTCGGGGGTGTGTGTTAGAAACTAACAACTCCTCATAAGACTTTGCGTCCATGGGTTCGATTCGGTTAGTGCGAAAAGTCGTTGACGAAGATTTAGTCCTTGTGCGAGGGTGATGGTTTCTCTCGGTAGGTATTCCCGCGAATGAGAGCGTGGATGACAATGAAGACTGACGCCGATCTCATCGCCGACGTGGTTCAAAGTGCGGCTGGGCGTCTAAGATTGATGGAAGGTACCACGGAAGTAAAGACAGGTCTCTTTCGAATAACACACCAGACAACGACATATGATTCTGGTTGCAGCTGAAAAGGTAGTGGGAGAGGGGACTTATATCACGACCTCATAGTCAGGAGGTAAACGGAGGTAGGGCCGGGTGCTCTGCAGACCACTGTCAGCCTGGTTTGCAAGCCTAGCTCCAAAGTGCCATGGATGCTTGGATAGTCTGGAACACTCGTAATCAAGGGGTGTATAAAAGGCTGCTTAGCATGCTGAGTGAGCTTATTCTCCAGCATTGCATTCTATCGCGGTTGTCTGTGATCGACGACAAGAAGAAGAGTGTCAAGACGTCTTTGTCACGGTGTCTCAATGTATCATGCTCACCACGTCGTCGTCGTTGTCACTTGTCATCAGTCCTCCAGGAGACAGACCGCTATTCAATTGCCGTCTTTTAGCGTCACTACGTGAATATTCGCGCTTAATACGCATCTCAGAGTTATCCATCGCACTCCCCTTACGTCACCTATTCTTCAAAGGACCTCCTTCAGAAGCGCTGTTCCCAGACTAAGTCCAAGCAGAGAGCCAAAACAGAATTCGTTACAGTCTTTAGATCTTCAGGAAAATGTGCGCGTTATATACTTATATAGCCTTTAGCAATAGTCAACACAAGCAATACTGCGTTTATTTGTTCCACTTAATGTTAGCTTATTTAGTACTTGAAGTTGAGACCTAGATGCTTTGATTTATAGAGTTTTGACGCCTCCCCTACAGCCTATTGGACAAGCTTCGTACACTTTTCCACATTCAGAAGCAGTTGCCCCCATACTTATCCCCTTCCTGAGGGCCTGTGCTGGCACAGCAAGCTGCGTACGCGGAGATGAACTGGTTCTGGCTGAACTGTCCCAGCCCGCTGAACTGGCAGAGTCCGCCGTCGTTCAACCAAGTCCCCTTGCGATCCACTCCGTCAGGGAACGTGACTCCGTCTCCAGTGACACAGCAGGTGTTGGAAAACTGGTCGGGGTTGGCGGCACCGAAGCCAGTGCAGTAGCACTTGTACTGGGCCTATTCAGAAGATTTGCTATTAGCCAATGACCTATAAGGGCTTGGAGAAGAAATCGTACGCACGTTTGCAACGCCTGCAAGGAGGAGGAGACTCAATGACGAGAAGAACTTCATGATGACGAGGCTGAGCGCTGAGATGCAGACTTATGGTACTATAGTTAAGTTAGTCTCTCGAAGTATTATTCTCGTGATCTCCATCGTACTTACTGAGATTGCGAGCGAATTGAGCTACTTGATGATTGGTGTGATTGTGCCGTTCACTTCCTTCCAGTCTCAAAAGAACAGAGAGTTGTTTTATATCTGACTGATTGTACAAAACGTCCATCGGCTTCGGAGCCTGTGGGATGCGGCAGGGCCGGGCACTAACAAGAGGTTGATTGATTAAATCATATATTCAGAGTTCTCGTCTCCCCATATGGAGCTGACGGCCAGCCTGTAACTTTTTTTCGACTTGTCTGGCTTACACGACAAGATTGGTCTTCCTAACAGTAATGCAGCTGCTCCTCATACCACTTTTGCTCTTGCGCACCGCATGAGGAATTCCTCCCCGACTTCCTGTCCTGACCTCCAGCATCACAGTATGTTAGAGACTGAAAGATTCCCAAAGGCTAAGAGACGGTTATCTCCGGCTCCAAGGTTTTCAAGGGGCTTTTAGGTTTAGGACAGACTGCATAGCATCGTTGTTTTTCTTTTTAGTCCCCTACCGGCAGCAGTTGACAGTTGTCGCGTATCCCCACAAACTCTATGCGCGCGTCTCCCGCAAGATGTCGCAGTCCTCTGTTGCCCGCCAACGGATCACCGCCACAAACCGCAGGCTGTCAATCAACAACCAACGGACTTCGATGATGTAGATTCCTTCGACCCCCAATTGAGTGAGACACTTACACTACGCCTTATGTGCATTCATTCGGTGTGGGCAACAAATGAGACGAAGTTGTTAGACATGCACTATGCCAGGCAGGACCCCTAGTAGGCACTGTTAGAGCGCCTTAGCTGCTGTACTCTATGCCAAGGCCACCGTCCTTCGTCGGGACAAATTTCCTTCTCCCGTACAAGAAAGACCGAGTTCAGGATGGGAACAACCAATCCCCCCGATCATCATTGAGGCTGCTCACATGGCTAGGTCCATCCCGGACAGACCCAAAAACATGTAATGGCACTGATTGAGCCCGAGAAGACTATGAAAAGACGCGTCCGTATGCTTAAGCAAGTACAGGCCGCAGGATGTGCTCAGAACCCGGAGACAAACCTATCAAGTCACTAGAAGCTTTCTGAATAAAGAAGCGCATCGCTCTGTATGACTCTCTCATACAGAACGATGACTTACCATGGTGAGTAGGAAGACAAGAAAGATTAGCAAAGTTAGTCGCAAACTATGGGAAGGCACATTCTGCCGTTCCTCAAATGCCAAACTGATCTCACCTCTGCGGGCCTTATAAGCAGCTACGCCGCAAATGATTGGTTGTTCAAATGAAGTAAGTGATCTTGGCATTTCGATCCTAAGCTTTTCCAGAGTGCTATGCTGTCATCAGTCAAATCTGCTAAAGAGAATCGGCGTACTGCGCAAAGCCTACCATCGCCAGCATTGCCTTGCCCACATGACGGAGTATTCTCACGGACGACAGAGTTGACAGGAGGCGATGAAGGCTCGGTAACGGGAGGAGAGGCTTGTTGGCTGGTTTTCGATTCGGTTCGGCATGATACAACCAAAAAGCAAAACCGCTTGATTTCAACAGCTTGAACACTTCTTGGAGGCATATTTCCGGTTGTCTTTACATGCGAAATGCCGTTGCTGAGCGTCTTCATATATCGCCATGGAGCACGAGATGAAGACCAAGCGAATCCTCATCAAGTTGCGTCTCAACTTGGTTACAGAACCCGCGAGATCTTCGACTTGTTGCACGTCGTCATACGAATTATATATGAAGCGCATTGTTTGCCACAAAGCTACCGACAGGCACAATCGCGTACAATGTGCGTCTGCGCTCGTCTTCAAGGATACCCGAATCATTGCCCGTACATGCTTGTGACTAAGTAAGATTTGCCAGTCGCTTTGGAAATCTTCAGTTACTCCACAGCTATAATACTCAGAATAATCCTTAAACACTAGTCGAAGACAACGACTACGATCTCAGGGCATATCGCGGTGGTATACTACCTTGTGGCCGGTAGCAGCTCTAGGGAAGGGGAGCAGTAACTATGATCTGTGTTAGATGACGGATTTACAATCAATCGAACTTGGTCTTGACTGTCGATTCTCACGGTCTTTTACACTCGCATATGTATCTCCGCCAACGTTTTCTGGCTGTTGCGGAGACTACACCTGCCTCACGCTGAGAACTTTAGGAAAGACCCCAGAGACTTTTTAGATGAGACTCGACGATTCGAGGACCATCTTGGATATTTAAAGAGACAAATGTCAACCTGAAAACACAACGCAAGACAACAATGCGATAGAAAGCCGGCATTCCATTTCCTGCCTACAGTGAAGTGTTCCAGTGAGATCTTCCAACACTGGGAGTGACACAAAGTTCGGAGGTTGCAGAGACTGTTCTTCATCGCTGTTGGTGATGGTTTATTCCCAAGCATTTTCCTACTGCTAAACGCCAACTCTCAACTCAAGGCAGACCCACTCTCAGGTCCAGCTTGTTGATTATTAGAGACGACGTCTTTCTATGTCCGAACAAGAACGGGCATCGATTACCAGGCAATTTGGCTGACCAAAATGGGAAGCTCGAACCAGCAAGCAGCGCCTTTCATAGCTCGGTGAAGTCAGGAGCCACGATGCGTGTCCAATAGCCTATCCCAAAGGTTTTCGAGCTAATACCCAAAGCCACGAGCTCATATTTAGTTACGTGGAGTCACCAAAGAGGGTTTGAGACAACAATATCCTCTGCCGTAGTTGTTGTTCTTCAAGGCTCCGAAGTTTCTGCCTTCACCACAACGACTAGCCTGGCTTCAAACATGCGGAGTAGCAGCATAGTCTACCGATGAGATCAAGGCTTGGTTGTTTCGTGTTTATTCGGACACACTGTGCTCACGGCGTGGTATGACGGCGCCAGACGACAGCTTTAACGTGGCCACGTCCTGCGTTGCGGGAGATGGTACCTCAGTGCAATGTACGTGCTACTGCCAATGCCAATATGTGCTTGAACACAATCGGTGAAGGCCATCTCATTTCGTTTCCCTTGAAAGAACAGATATCACGAACAACTGTAGCCGACAGCTTTATGAAGTCTCGATTCACAGCAGTCAGGGCTGATGTAGACTTGAATTCTGGCTCGCGTACTTCCTGGCAAGTGCTGATACTCGGTTGGGGGGCTGTTTCAGCTCATGGCATCTTAAAAATCGCCCTGGGAAAGTCTCCTATGTCCTAGTTCAGCTTCAAGACAACCGTGGCTGACTGGAAATGAACCAAGTACGGTGAGAACTCAGTCATACTGGAAAAGATGCCATCGCCAGGCTCTCATCTCCTGGAAGCCCAGTCTAATGGCTTTGACATGCACAAGAAAGCCAGGCTATGCATCTCAGGCTTGACGAATTCAATCTCACAATCGGACAGCTCAAGTCAATAAGTCAATTGCCATGCGTCTCTCCAACCTATCACCAACATGACTTTTACGACTCTCCAGATGTGTCTCGTATGGTCACTCACGTCCAGTCACACGTCTGGGATGAATACTCTGCAGACCACATGAAGATAAAAGCACCCCTTGAAGCTACAATGAAACACTGAATCTCGATGCCCCGCCTTATAGAGCGGGAACAGAGCGTCTCATACATCAAGCTAGGTCAGTGGTGGTTCGGCCCGGACCTAGATCCAAGCAAAAATGTCGCTTGACGACGGTGTTTGGAACGAAGCGTTCTGAGACTAACCCGAGAAGAAGGTCATTCTCAGTAACCGCATCTATAGCGTAATCCAGCGATTTCAGGCCGAGGGACGTGAAGTACTCATGCAGCTGACCTTCTTCTTGATCAAAGAAGGTTTCGACTCAGACGAAGACTTCAACGAGTATCTCTGCGGCCTTCTTCATACAGTTGTCGCCAAGTAGAGATCCGATGGCGTTGATCTTGACCCCGTCGCATGTTGGGAATACCATAGTTGACAATGCCAAGATCAACACCTTCATCCTGCACTTGAGAAAGGGCTCTGGAAGAAGGTTCTTGATCACGCTGGCACCCGACGGCACAGAGCTTCTCGGACAGGGGGTCCTCTCCAACATCAACTACCCTGGGGTCAAGAAGGACATCGGTTTGGAGATTGAGTGCTACAATGCTGCTGGGAGTGGTACAGCGGGAGTATTTAATATCTCAAAATTTCTGTCTGGGACATGACGCCGCAAAATAAATTGGGTCGCCATCTTGAATACAGGCAGCTGGGCTCGGATGCATACCTATGACTTGAGAAGCCTTCTGCTAGTAACGAAGAAATGCTTGTGATTCCTAGTCCGACAAATCCACGCCTCGCCCGTGGCTTATACCATAGTTTAATTGGTAGACCAAAGAAGTGAAAAAACGGCTTTGTCGACGCCGAATGAGCGGGGATCGTCGACCATAGGCTCAGTGTTGGTAGAATACTGCGGTAAAGTATCTAACTTCAAAATCACGCACACCAAACTATTGGTTCGGTGGTTGGGAACATGCATAATCAAAACCAGAAGTGGGTGAATTTATAGATATCCGCAGATTACACACATTGCTTGTGGAGTATGCTGTCGTGAGGACAGCCGGGGCAGATGAAATCTACTGACAGTCATCAACGGCGCCACCTACATATGACCTCCGACACTTTGTTAGTCCACAGCAAGACATTTGGATAAATATAAGGCTTTCTAATGGCAGTACATGAGCCTTCAACCCGATCGTGCCTGACGATGTACAAATTTGGCCATTGTTCATCATAGCAGCCGGATGGAAGGGTTGATTCGTCCACGTTGAAGTCGGCGTTGACACGGTTGTAATGGCTTCCCAACCTCAGTTAGTAGCTGTGCTTGAATGTTTCCCATCATCTTTCTTAGTGTATTCGGGACTATTCATATTCTAACGTGAATCTTCGGAGATGGAGGAATACTGTTTGCTAGGCAACAGCAGTGACGGTGATCATTGTTGCTCTG